TGGCAGACTATGACTGTCCTTGTAGTTTTGCACAAGTCCTTGATGGATTTTCTGAAGTTTATCAATTACCATTTCCAGACATTCAGATATATTTCTTTCCGGGTTTGCCTCAATTGTACTTTTTAGCATTGTTGAGCGCCATTCCATGAGGTAGGCTTGGTAATTTTCAGGGGTGTGAAAGTAGGAGCGCGTTTTTTCAATCATTTCATCAAAACTAAGATTTTGACGAGCTAAGTGTTGGTAGTAAAAATTTTGAGCCTTATCCTTTAGCATGGTGGAGTAAGCCGAGCCGTATAAATCAGGTGTAACACCAGCTTTGTCACACATGTCGTAAAATATTCTAAGTTTAGCATCCAGCACATCATAAAAGCTTCCGCCGAACTTATTATCTGAGTCAACGTAAAACTTTCCAAGATCCGTTAGTAATCTCGCTGTGTTGGTTGTCATAGATACTTGGGAATAGTAGTTATTGGGCTGAATGGATTCTGAACGCTGATTTGGTGGATAGTTTATTGTGGGACGGGTTTGCTGAAGGGGAGGTCCTGGTTTGGAGGCAGAGACGTTTTCGGTGGAGGGTTCTTGTTTTGGAATGGGAGTCGGTTGTGATGTATCTGATTGGCGGTTTCCTAGGATAAATTCGTATTGTCCATCAAAGTTAGGGTTATAACATCGAGACTTGAAATTATAGCCTTTTTGCATATGCAATTCAAGCTCGTCTTTTGGCCATGGTGGACACTCATCACACTTAAGCAAGTAGTATAGTTGGTCTGGAACTTGACCTCGACCACCAACGTAAACTCCGCTATTCTTTAAGCGATCTTTGAGCTCCCTACGAATGTTTTTGTTAGCAATTTTAAAAATGTTGGCAGTCCAGCCTTCAAAATCTTCCTTGAATTGATTCAGTAGTGCCTTGTCAAACTTATTGCTTGATTCATAGAACTCGAGGCAGTCGACGATGTGAGTGTTAATTAGTTCAGGTGCCAAACTTTCTTCATCTTTTACATCAATCTCCATGCCACTGAGCTTGGTGTCAATGGCGATTGCTACCCATGCTTTGTTTCGAAGATCGGCCATCTTAATGTATCTGTGGATTTAGGCTTTAATCCGTAAAATTGACGTGCGTGATGGACGCAGGCAAAGCAGGTAAGCGGTCGAGGAATTGGGACCAATTGGCCGTCACTCCCTTCTTGCAAATTGTAATGCCCTTAAGAGAGTCGTCGCCTGACCGCAGATTTCACTCTTATTCGCACGCTGTCAGATAAGCTAATCTGAAACGCCGCTTCTTTGTCTCGTGTCGAGCTTGACCGCGTCAACACTTACCCCAATGGAATACCTTGCTGTTCTGTGGTTGTATGACTCAAAATGTCAGTTCAACCACTGATCAGTGTTGGTATGACAAAGGTCATACACTACAAGCCAATAGGTTCACTTGAAGTTATGAGAGTACTGCAGTACGTAATGAGAACAATTGTTCGATTGGGTTCGATTGATTATGTATATCTCTCCCCTAAACTATAGCCACGAAGTTGGTATCTATCCTCGGATAATAGTTTACCCGATATAAAAGAATTACAAAGAGAACTGTTATACATCATGCAGGGACCACCAACTCCAAACCCAAGATAGACTCAACCGAATTAATCGTTCCGACACATGGGCCTGCAATAAGACCATACCAATTAAGGCAATATGTACAGGGACCAAACCCCAGTCATTTTGACAATTGAACATTTGATACCCCTAAGAGACTGTACTTATTGGACTCTCTATGATTTACTTGCAACCTTAGAATTTGTTAATCCTTCCTCTCTGCCGAGATGGACTCGATCTCTGTAGCTCTACAGCTCCGAAAATCTATCCACAAATAGGTTCATGACACTTACCTGTAGATTTTGGTCATCTTTTCCAGGGAACCTCCCACCCCAAGAAATGAAAATGGTAGGAATGGAAACTGCGTGTGCAGGAACAGTCTCAAAAAAGTCCGCAGCCTTAGACATGCAAGGCCTTGACACCCTTGTAAATTGAGTCATATTTTCTGTACTTTTCTTTGATGTTGTGTCATAGCTAGATAGCTGCATACGCCATTAGAATCTGATGCAAAAAAAAAGGCCTTGACACCAGAACCACATGAGGTGCGCAGATTCATCTTGTTAGAAATGTTGCGCAAAGAAATGAGCGTAATATTTGTAGAACGAAAGTAGAAGTTGACTAAGCGTGTGTCATGATCCAATTTCAGCTAAAAGTTTGCGAAGTGTCACGGCACGGCATTCTGCTCCGCCATGATATACAATTACGTGGAGGGAGGATGTGAGACTGATGGCTGATGCAGGAAGGAGCACGGACGCGGCGATTTAGTGGAAACCCGCCCGAATAGGAATAGCCTCAGGGCTTTTTGTAATGAGATCCTGTTCTTTTCTATTCTTCTCCAGCTTAGTATTTGCTTCACAGATTGAATTATCGCCATACAAGCTGTACTTTCACTTGTGCCTATTCTACGCCGTGACACGAAGTGTGCTCTACTAGTGCATGTGTAAGTGGCACAAAGCCTAAGCCACATCACAAATAAATGTGGCGCCATCTAAGCAAAGAAAACCACCAATAATCTCCTTGTGCCTACGCCATGTAGCCACTCACGTCTCCCATAGGTAGCATGAAGCGCTACCATGTTACTCATTCCAACTTGTTGAATACACACAAGATCGTGTCAGGAACCTAGACAAAATGGAGGGCCCGTACGTCCATAGCATTTGGTGTCGCCATTTCCAACATATCTACATCTCCCTTTGTTAAATTTGAGGCCAACTTGATCCAATCCACCATCTCCGTACCGGGTGCTGGGCACGCTCAGGAAACTCATCAGATGGCTTTTCCTCCATGATCAAGGGTTGGTGATGAGTAGGTCTCCGACCCTAACACCTGATCTAGTCATAGTCAGCTTCATGACACGGATGATAGGGGAATGTGTTGAGAGATGAAGACCATATTGACCGTGAAAGCGATTGGAATCCTCATGGAGGTGAGGACTTTGTCATAAAATCTCCGCTCTACTGTCACAGTTTCAGCACACAATGCATGTGTTACGGTTTGACCGTTGTTTGAGCTTAGGTAGATACCTAAGCCTGATACTAAGAATCCTTACAATGAGGCTGTATGGGGGTGGAGATGAAGCTGAACAAAACGGCACTACTACTCAGGAGGCTGAAGCGTCATTACAACTTAGTGACACCTGGAAATACGTGGCTGGGTAGAAGTATTGAGCCTGAGGACAAGTCACTAGTCTGTAGATTCACGAGGAGGATTAACTCCTATAAATACCTGTTAGTAGTAGCTAGAGTTAGCTTTTCTCCTCATATAGTTTATTAAATCGATTTATTCATCACCAACTTGGTTTCCGTCACAGCATGGACAATCTTGTGATTATGGTACATTAATTTAAATTCTCTAAGAAGAGGGTTCCTTAAGCTAGACTACAAAACATAAACACTCTAAATTTTTGCCCTTTTATAAGGTTCTCCCTATGACAAGAATAATATGGACTCTTCGACAATTTCCTAGAAGATTCTCGATACACCTGTCGTCCTCATGAACTTTTAGTATGCTTGCCGAAGGATCATTGAGAATCTTCTAAGCTCCGTGTATTCCGGGATCCTTCCCGAAGATTCACTTGCTTTCATTGCCTATGCTAGCCAGCGTAGGCTATAGGAATCCTTAGGCTTAATAGCCATTACATCTGCAGACTTTACAGTGAGAGCTGAAGGTTCGAAGAAGATACCACTCACAGGTGTCGAGATGAGTCCCCCATTGACAAGAGAATAGATAAACCTATGAACTTTAGAGAGTCACCTATTCAAACCCGCCAAAACCTTAGCAGGGCCCACAGCAGCATAGCCACACTGAAAATAAGGGAGCAAATTAGACTCAGTGCTTACTTATACCGAGGGAATTTACCAGGAGTAAGGATACCACGATCCTTATGTGGATATCTGTCCAAAAATAAGCAAAGGCAAGAGGTGACTTGCTAAGTAACTGACAGCCCAATCCTTCCAAACTATTTTAAATGGCATCAAAGATATAGCTAGAATTGCACAGTGGATTCACAAGGATGGCTGGTGCAGTTTCGGATGAATGAAGAAATCGAAACGTTAACAAGGCAAATATGGTAAGACACAACAAGGACGGAATCTACACTGGCATCAACAGTATGGGTACACTTCCTAAAGGTAAGACTACAATGGTACAGAGTCTAATCAGACAGCTAAGGTGGTTTTTACTGCGAAGTTTCCTGTGTAAGCTAGAAAATTTGATACACAACTGCATGGAAGAATAGAGCATCACATCAGGATAATGAATTCAATTTTAAAACATATAACCATTAGATTTTTTACAAGTGGATCACTACAGATGCTGTTTGACTCGATTAAAAATTGACTATCAATACAAAAAGATAGTTCTTTTGATAAGCTTGCGAGAGAAAATTTGTGTTGGAATTACCGCAGATTGGGTTCACAATTGATTGTAATGATTTAGCAGAGAGTTTTGCAATTCTGTGTTGTTCTAAAGTGTTCATAATATCTTGCCTCTCGCACTATAAAGGATTTACAAATACACTGTGGACCCTGGCTAGCATATCCATGCTGAGGTCATAATATGATGCCAACATGATGACACATCTAATTTTAGGTTTTGGATGAACCAACAATTTGTGTAAATATCAGCTCGTTATCATTAGGTAAACCACATGAATGGAGAACTTTATTGCACCATGTTCTGTGATTTCGGATTTTATTTACAGAAGAAAATCTGTAAATATATATTCCTTTGTACTCAGAAAAACATTCTAATTTTACTTGATATCCAAATTTCTCGAAAGTAACTAAACTCTCATCATTAGTATCTCCACCTTTTTTAACTAAAACTATTTTACATTCCAAGAACCCAAATTACTGATATTTGAGAAAAGTTGCCGAGTTTAAACACCTAAAACAAAAGTAATTGAAGAAATGAAGTGCAGCACACTTGTATCAGTTACATCAATTCTGAGCATTATTAGGCCTGCACTTGCTTTGGATGGCTACACTTGTCTTGGACAAAATATTACGCACGATTTTCTCATGAGTAATATTGACAAACACTACCACAACATATTGGAACATTTTCCCTTGCACCCATTCTTTACAACTGATGGTGCAATTATTTATTGTGATGTTCTCTACAATTTTGCTGGTCATGACAGTGGGTAGCTCTCATCTCCAAAAATCATTCACAGCTGATAATCTTAAGCCCCGCCAGATGGAAATTCGATGATAAGAATTTCATTCTATAAATCAAAGGCAATTTACGGAGTGCAAGCATATGTATCTAGTCAGGTCCATGAGTGTCAACCCATTGCTATCTGGTCGTAATTGGCAAAGATTGTTTAACCAACAATGAAAGAAAATATGTACATCAAGATTAATGCTTTGATCAGCTGAAATTTTGTTGAGACACGGAGGAAATTAAACAAGTTACTGGGCACGAAAATCAGGAAAAGAGTAAAAGAGCAACTTTTATTTATTAAATTTAGATTATAACATACAAAAATTGAGAATGCATCCCCACATGAATAATTGTTTCGATTACACTACAACAAGTCCAGCGTAAGGAAGTATAGGTATATTCCAGGCTACAGTTTCGGTCCGAAGGAATATCTGATGCTTGCGCTGAGACACCCGAAGAGGTTCCATGTCAATAATTATTACAGGGTAATGTCGTGTCAGGTCGTGACTAGTCGCGTGTCTCGCGAATATACAGCTGTCAAGGGAAGAAACGCGTGCAGGACGTCTAGTCATACGAACACTGTAATTTAGGAGATACATGTAACTTTCTAGTGTCATGTGTGATTTGATCTAAACCTGTATATGGAGACTAGGGCTAGTAGAAATATGGGTAAATGACTAAGGAACGGGTATGGAAATGGTTATATATGGACATGATCTGGATGATTGGAAAAGGGATTAAACTGAGCACATATCACAACCAGTTTTACTCGATCATCTTCTAGATATTTTGAACCTTATTTCACATAACAACTCAAATATATTCACTTATAGAAGTCATATCTTGAAACACGACTTAGAAAACAATTTTCATCTTTGTTGGAAATTCTGACTCTCGAATTTAGGACTCACCCACTACCTGTTTTGTCTCAGGTTCCTGACAAGATCGACTCTCTCTACAAATGTCCCGAGTACGCTAATCGCACCTACTGTCGCCTATGCGTTTGGATATTTACGTACCACAGTGTATCTTGGCTTATCATGGTAGATGAGAGGTGGCTGGTCATCACTAGGTTTGACAGGCACACGAGACTAGCGGGAATTTCTCCCTTAGATGTATATATAATTCCAATGTTCACATAGTTGTAAAATATCAAGTCTTCTTTACTTCATCATATTTATCCATATAATATCGTACAGAGTATATTTACCAACAATCTTCTTCATCATACAATACCATAACTAAGTCAAACTGTTGGAATGTATTTCTTTTACTAGGCGCTTAGTGCAGTGGATCTCTCTGTTGCTGAGTCATTTGTCTTGATGACTCAGCAACAGAGAGATCCACTGCACTAAGCGCCTAGTAAAAGAAATACATTTCAACACAAACAATAATTAAATTGTGTTCAGACTTTGAGCTTACTACACTTTTTGTTGGTAGGCGTATTCACTGTGTAACTGCTAGCAGTATGTCATTAATGATTCTTCTTCTTGTATTCTCTATTCTCTTCAATGTTACAGGAAGATTTAATGGAAGTATATCACATATTGTATGCACGTGACATCATGAACTACTGACAATGATCCGACACTAGCAACTTTCTAAAATAGAGAAGTAGAGGGTGCGGTGAAAGTTCAATGGGTTCCGGGTCACGCAGGGATCAAAGGAAACGAGCGTGCAGACGTATTAGCTAGGGAGGCCTACAGCGAAACAACTACACGGACAAAAGCTTCGATATACCGAGCCAAAAGCCTCATAAAGGAGGGCAAGACTGAACACCTGTACGCGGTGTCCTCTACGAACCTGGGAGTGAAATATTCTCCCAGAGCCAAGTTCAGTCAAATTTCGCAATATCAAAGAAGTTGGCCCACGAGGCAAAAATCCAAATTACTCATCCACTTCGTTATTTCGCTCCCAACGAGTTTGACCCCTATCTTCGTCTCATCGAGTCTACAAGTACGACCAAGTACATCCTCATTCCAATGACCACACCACTCTTCGACCTTCTCTGGCCTCAGCTGGTCACCAAATACACGCCCACGCCGATATTTATACCCGCCGGAGGATGCAAGGCGTGGCGCACAAATCTGGGAGACAGTTCTATGGGATGGATGTGAGAGGGATCTGGACAAGTTGACAAGATGATGCGAAGGACGGATATAACCTCGAAGGGCATGAGATTCCGAATTTTGGCAAGGAGTTTTACGAATTAAGCTTTGTGCGCGCCAAGACTTCGCTTGCGAGAGTGCAGTTGACACTATAAAAACAAGCAAACGATGGAAGGTGTTGTGGTCCGCCTCCTGGTGGTGTTCTCTAGTATGGTTTGAGTAGCCTGGGCACCTACTCCACTTGGGAAGGAGACACCTCAGATCACATATCGCGCGGAGAAAAGTTGAAAGATGATGGAGGCATGTCTGGATAACTCAGGGTTTTTGAGACGTTCCCCTGGGTGGGTATTCACGGATGAGGGTTGACTTGGGGTGAAGAAAAAGCCACCATAACTTCGCAGTGGTACTTGCAAATGAAATCTGAGGCATGAGTGCTCTTCCTTAACAATGAATCATCTATTCTGTACTTTTCTTTGATATTTTGTCATAGCTAGATAGCTGCATATGCAATTAAAATCTGATGCAAAAAAAAAAAAAAAAAAAAAAAGCCTCATAAAGGAACAGCACGAGAGTAGCATCATCCAATTTCGGGAGGATCACGCTCCGAGTAGATATAGGAGTCTGAAGATACCTATGACAGGACAAATGCCTGAGGAATTGCAGATTTTATCTCGGAAAAATCTCGCGTTACTCCTTGCTGCCCGCTCCGCTCATGGAGATTACGCCACGTATCACAGACGCTTCCAGCACCAAGACGCCGAGCTATTGTGTATCTGTGGAGAAGAAAAGGCTCCGGAACATCCCTTGCTTGCAGGAAACTTGACCAAAGTAAATCTCCGAGACCACGTCCATCTCGGGGTAAGGAGGGGGACATCATGTGGATCCTCGGCACAACAGCAGGGGCGAAAGAATTCGGAAAATGGTGCAACACAGCTCATCCATACAAACAACAAGTTCTCACAGTGTAGAAGCAAGATTAGTGGTGACATTGATAGCATTGCCTTGAAACAACTGCACAAATTTGTAATTTAATCATAGTAATTTAATACAAAACAAAAGGGGGGAGTATCAAGGAGTTAGGCATTGAGGAATTTACACAAATAGAGTGGCCTAGAGCTCTACCTTGCGTTAATATCGAGCATTAATTGCGAAAAAAAAAGTGAGGATACAGTAGTTTTTTAGACAATAGAATTGTCCGATAGTAATAGGCTATGCGGACACGCCAAACGCCCATTCTTGGGCATAGAGGCCGGGTCATACCCGTGAGCCTACTTGGCGTTAATGAACAAACAAACAAACGCACAATTCGAGAAATTCCAAGTTGCCCATTCCCACCATATCATCCATCTCACCCATCATCTATCGAATCGAATTGTAATTGTTTGCCATCGGCGGCATTTTAAAATGCCTCCGACGCGTAGAACGCACCAAAACGCGATCAGCGGAATCACCAAAGATCGCGTCATCAAATCCTACAAATTGCATGAATCTATACTAACTCTTGCAAGACAAAAACTTACGGAGAAAGGATTAGGGGCCTCCGAAAAAAATTTAGACTACATCGAGGCTGCGCTCGAAGCTAACGTTCGCAATATACCCGAGGTAGAGATGTTGGACGTCGAAGTCCAGAAGTTGAAATCTCTATCAGATTCAAGATGGGCCTCCTCCAGCCCAGAAGACGCGGAAAAAGCCCCAGGGCCCGCAATAACTCCAAGAGAAACCGTCGCAGCACCCGAAAAGCGCGCTACGGTTCCAGCACTACCGCGATTTAAGGAAGTAAGGCCAGCGAAAAGGGCCGACATACCCTCAACCAAGGCAGCAGGAGCCGAAAACTCTTTGCTGGCCCCACCGCCTACAGCGATAGAAGCAGCAGGCAAAGAAAAAACATACCCTCCAGAATTGCTTGCAGCGATGGATGCGGAGGAGCGCAGGGCAAGGCAAAAAGCCGCGCAATTTAATATCTGCTCGACGGCGATTAGCAGTGTGGAGGCAGCTCTTCTACCGCTCTCCACCGGTGAAGATAAAAATTTTGTAGACTCGATCAAAGTCTACCTAAGGGCAGCAATTGCACAATTCGTGGCGGCCGGGCCAAGCACTGCTCCGCCAGTACTACCCCACCGACCAACTGTCGCGACTCCGCCTGCGACCGTTGTCCCTGTAGCCATTCCCCGGAATATTTCAAAGGCTACTGCAGCTCTCCCGCTCAGAAGCACCTGGGCCACTGTCACCAGAGCAGGACACCAAAAGTCAGGAGCACAGGCTCCTGCAAACATCACCTCGGTTTCGGCTGTTCCATCTGCCAGGAAACCGGAGAAGAAGCCAGCAGCAACAACAGCATCGAAAGATGACCGACTCTTCCTGCGTCTCGCTGCAAACCACGAGTGGAGACAGCTCTCTCCGGCTGGCGTTCGCGAAGCCGTGGCTAAACATACGCAATGCACCCCGTCCGATGTCGACCAGGTGCAACGCGTTCCCACTGGCTTTGCCATCCGTGCCAAAAACCCGGATGCAAAAACTCGACTGCTGGAGGCCTCCAGCACCTTTACGCAAGTGGAGGCAAAACTAGAACCACCAAGTGATCTAGTTTCCCTCCGGATCGCAACGGTTCCAGTTGCAGTTTTCGGCTTAGAAGGACGAATCGAAGTCACTGCCAAAATGGTGGCCGCCGAAATCCTCCGGGTAACGAACTGCACTCCAGACCGAGTGAGGATACACGGAAATACTAAGCTCGGCGCTCCTTACAGATCCTGGGCGGCCTTGTTTCCCAGGAATGCTAGCCCAAAGCCTGGATTCCGACTCTTTGACGACTCGGGAGTAGCGACAATCCAACGAAACCGCCCTGCCATACAGCAATGTAGGCGATGTCTCGGCTTCCACGCCACCCGTGGGTGCTCTCGCGCGCCAGCCTGCTGGAACTGCGGATCCACCATGCACTCGGCATTCGAGTGTAAAGCGGCCTCTAAATGTCGAAACTGCGGAGGCCCCCATCAATCTGGCAGTCGAGACTGTCTAGCTCGTCCTAACAGGTCTGGCCCAGC